CTGCTGTTCCTCTTCGCAATGCTGTTAAACTGTTAAATACGAACTCCGTGGGTGTTGCAATTTAAATTGGGGCATTCAATCCCTCGGCTACACGCAACAGGGTCACGGATGCACAGACACATGTGCACTGCTGTACTGGAGCACATTAATACAAGATAATCATTACGACGGTTAACGTTAACCTAAATTAACCTTCCCAGTAACGGCTAACGTCAGTGGCGAGTGATGACCGAACGCGTCCTCGGCTGCCCCTTCACCAACCCGCACTGAGCTGCGTGGTGAAGTATGGTCACATGACCTCTGTGACCACCGACACGGCGTGGGGAGGCCTTCATCCAGCAGTGGATGGACAGAGGGCTTTGTGTGTGTGTCCTGCTCACGGCCAACACCAGTGACAATTATCTGAACCGGTCCTGGGCTTCCCCTAGATCCAATCAGCCTCAAATGAGTACCTAGTGGCGTGTGTAAACATCCCCACTGGGGAGACAAAGGTGGTCAGGCGTGGTATTGGCCCCCCACCCCCTCGTGTGCCGTGCCGGCCTTTATAGGTGCTCGCTAACAGCACTTGCCCCAACAGTCTGCTGAGGCTACACGGGGTATCTTGTCTTTGTGTATATAAAAGGTATTGCATATTCACAATCTGTGAATATAACACTCAGTTTCAAATGCCCCAATGTAAAATGTCTTGCTCGTGCAAAATAGTGATACAGAAATAATACTGCATGTAACACACGTACTGTGAGCATCATCACATTTACATTCCAAAGCGGCTGTGTTTGTCATAATGCGATCTGCCGTGTTCATCTTTCCCCCCCCCCCCCCCCCTCTGTTAATACTGCAAATGTTTCTATCGGGTAACTTATTATTATCAACATGTGTAAGACTTTTGGCCAGCCCAGTGGCAAATAAGAACATGTTTTCCTAAGGCCTCTTCCCTCGGTTAACCATAAAATCCTATTGGGGTTGGCACAAGATTTCACGTGACTACAGTGGGCTCTGACTTCAATAGAGACCCCCCCTCCCCCCCCCAAAAAAGATACGCAAAATAGTCAAAATGATAAATGACCGAATTTAATAATCTCATTCAGGTTCAGCAGAGCCCACACACAGCCACACACAAAGCCGTCAAAGTCCAGCGGATTTGGAGCCTCATTCACCCTCCGCGTATCTCACAAGCGTATCTCACGGGCGGCCCCGGCTCATTCCCCCAAGTCACTCATCGCCCTCCACTTCCAGAAACGGCCGCCAAAAGGCTTTTGGACGCCCGGTGCAACGTGCCGGATGAGGCCCCCCCCCTTTTTGTACCTCTCTGAGCCCACCTCCCCCCCCCCCTCCGGATTTAAAGCCTGGGTCAAATTGCCACCGCCCCAGTCCCCTCCCCGTTGATGGTCCCTGCATGTCCATCAGTTACTCATGCTGTCACACCACCCCACTCTCAATTAGACAACTCACTCGGGCACCCCCCACCCGCCCACCCACCCACCCGAATGTTGTGTCACTCAAGAGATTCCTTGCTTTTGATCTTCCACGAAGCTCATGGTCCACCCTAAACCGCATCCATTGCACAAACCATGGCAATATGCGGAAACCCGATGCACAAATTGAGCATCAAAAACTCTCCAGTAGCAGTGTGTGACTGTGGCCGTCCAGAACAGACGGTACAACACGTAACGACGCAATGCCCCGACCCACAAATACGACGGAGGCATCACGGCGATACACTCCGCTGCTCCTGACGCGGTTGTCTGGCTTCATCACCTGAATGTGGCATTGTCGTTGCTGGTCTGCATCTGCATCAGCAGCCGTGCGAACGAAGGAGGACAACTCAAGGGGTCCGCTCTCTGCACTGCGAACGATGCTCGCGCGATCTGGCACACGACTGGCAGCGATGCTGATTTTTTTTTTATGCAACGTGTTGCTACCGGTGGCCAAATTAAATAAAGTGAAAATGATTCAACATCTCCATCCCACAGGCTGAGGAATGCACGGTTACACGCGGAATATTTATCTGTGAAACATGCAAGAGACGGGAGATGGAGTTGCATAGTAGATGTTGTGTGATTGCCTGGCAACTTTCCCTGACACGGTATTATGTAACATGCGTGTGTGCGTGTGAGTCCATGGATACTTGTACCTATTAACTCATTAACACATTTGATGAATATATTTTTTATATATACCGTAATGTATTCATATAACGAAGCCCCATGTATCATATTTCACCGTAAACAACGTGTGGTAATATATGCTTGTAAAACTGTCACGTTATGCAAGTCAAATTTTAGTTCAGATTTAATTGCATATTTATTTTGTGTTTGTTTGTGCAAATAGTTATAATTCTTTGCACAAACAAACATTTCTGATAATTATCATAAGTAATGATAGAACCCTTTGGGATATCTTTCAGCACTAGCATGCATCACACACTCATCATTATCAATAGCCAACAAAATGTGTCCACTGCTAAAAGAAGGCCTCCCCAAGCTCTCATCATCTCTCATGGTCAAGGTGGTCGATCATGGTTTTTTTTTACAATACTTTGCCACACCGGTCAATGTGTGATTGTGAAGGGAGGGCCCAGGACAGGCTCAGATATCTCTCGCCACTGATGTTAGCCGTGGCCAGATTCCAAAGAACACAGGATGAGATGTTACTATCCTTTGTGCAAGCACTTCCAAGAGTTCATGAACAGTGAGCCTGGTGAAATTTGGGGAGCGCATCGTCAGTAGTGACTCGGTTCAAATTGCAGTTCCTGAACCACGTCGCTATCACTGCTCATATACAGGACAGTATTTCACATGGACATCATATTTCCAACAGTACATCTCCCCATTCAAACATATGTGTGACTACCCGCATAAGCACGTGCATGTATATCACAAAAAAAATGTATTCATACAGATTACAACAAAGCGCAGCAAATTTATAACTGATGCTTGTTTGATTCATTCGTGAAGACCGTCCTGAATAACGGCAGCTGCGATTCATTGATTCCATGGCACGCACCTTGGGCAGCCCGTGCCACTGCGTGCAGCCGCGCCAGTGATTTAGATGCTCACTGCGGGGGAGCAGTGCTGATCAGGCAGGGAACACGCAGCCCAGTAGAGTCTACCTCAAACCCGTCGCACCGCTCCCCCATTCGCTCCCCCGCCCCGCACCGCCCCCCGCCGGCAGCATCGGACCTCGGCGCGCAGGCGAGCGGGCAATATGGGATTTTCTTTGTTTTGCAGATAAAGTTCAGGGTGTGTTGCTGCACAGGGGTTTTTTTTTTTGCGCTTCAGATCAACGTGGCCTCGGCGCCGGTAATTGGAGCGAGCCTTGGCTCTGGCTTTGCTTAGTCGAGCCGAGCTGCTGCCGCAACAAGTCGGCGATAAGCACAGCGCTCGTCGATCCGTCGCGCACTCTCCACCGGCACACACAAAAAAATGCCAAAACGAAGGAGCCATAAAAATTCCAATGCGCTGCACATTCATCGGGCGTGCGCAAAGGGTCTCATTCCGTCGTGCATTACGGAGGCAATGCTGCGATTTGTAGAGATGTCATCGGTGCGCTTGGGTTGCCGTTGCGCAATACGCAACGTTGCAGGTGGCTGCGTTTCGCACGTACGATGAGCACGGTTGGCTACGTACGGTGCGCAAGAAGTCCAACGAAGCTACATTAATGCAAAGCAGCGGCGAAGCTATCGTAGACTGTGCGGGCGAGAGGGAGAGCAGGCACCGGGCCATGGAAGAGAGAGAGGAGAGATTTGACATGGAGCAGACCCCATTTAAATTCTTTGCAGCAGAGACCCCTTAGCCAACGACGGCATATCACCGTCAGATGAGATGAGCGTGCATCACGGTGCGCGTAACATCCGACAACATCAAATGGCAAGGCAGCTGATGACTCAATTTGTTTTGCTGCTGCTATGATTGTCCCGTTTTTGTTGATTACATCCTCCTTGACCCTTCGAAAAGTAAACTATTCCCTAATAACGGAGTACAAAACGGCTAACTGCCACAACACCGACAAGATTTATGCATGCCTCGTTCCATTAAAGTACGGCTCATGACGCTGGATAATCGTTTATTGCATGTTTTACCCTTGCGTAGGCAAAACAATATCTTGGCAGTTGGTATAAATCTCTCACAAGGAGCACACGTTGTTTAAAAGGAGATAATGTGTTTATGGGATGTGTCTGCATATTCACACGTTTGGCAGCTTTTGCCTAAATTAGTAATTTTCGATACAAACCCCCATCAAAATTATATATCATTAAATTACATATCATGTCTCTGTTTTCCTTTTAACACATCAGCCAAGAGGAAGAAGACAAAATATAATGCAAGGTCTTTAGGCAATATGTCATTTGGTGGGAGAAAGATGTTTAATGGAGGTACAGAACAGCTTTTAAACGCTTTTAACAGCACGTGCTTGCTTTGTTTTGCGGCTCCGGATGCTGCCTGCATGTGCCTCATTTTTTCGGAAAACAATTTTTTTGGGGGGGGGGGGGGTTTAAGGCCTATTTCATATCCCTTTGTGATTTTCTGACCGTCCTCTCATTTAAAACATCTTCCCGCTCACAACAAGAGTCACATCACCCAAAAGGCACGTTATTTCACTTCGGGTGGTCATATTTTTGGGTAAATCCGGAATCGACACGGATCTTTCCGAGATTCCGTGCCGAGGTTCGGTATCCGGATTTTCTGGATTCATTCGCAATTCGGGAACGCAACCCTCGCCGTCCACGTAGTCATGGCACAGTCGTTAGCGTGCCGCGCGACAAACCCAGAGACCTAACATCAGCGGCGAGTGAGATATCAGAACCGGTCCGCGGCCTTCCCTACGTTGACTCGAATCATCAGCGAGGGCCGCGCTCATCACATCATCCTCTCTGCGGTGCACCGTGCAGATCTTAACCGATGCTCACTAATAGCACTCGCCCCCCTCATGGTCTATGCAAGGCTACACCAGGGTCGCCGTTGTCTTTTGTGAGCACCTGTGTGTTTATCTCCTCATAGGTTCAGGGGGCCAGGCTCAAGGGCTGGAAGGATGTGACGTCTCTGTTCTCGGCAAAGCACAGTGACCACGAGAGGCTGACCGAGACTCACTCACCTTTACTTGAGCGGTGAGTTCTGCGTCATTGTCGGCTTCACAGTGAATCGGGTTGCAATGGAACTCTCCCCACTGTCCGTGTTGCTACCGTAGGAGTGGCAGTGATTACGCCGGTGATGATGATGATGTCGTTGATGGCGATGATTGCCCTCGGGAGATGATTCCGTCATCGTGACCGTGTCAGGTCAGGTGGCTACAGCGACAGAGGGAGCGGCTTGCAATCGGAGGGTTGCAACTTCAATTCCCGGCTGCGTGGGTTGACTCGGCTCACCGTCCCTCTGGGGGTCGATCATATGAGTATCACTTTGTGGGGAAGTCAACAGTGGCAGTCCTATGAAATAGTCTCTTCCCTGCCCTAGGAATGTGGAATTCTCACTCCTGTCCCAAGGCTGTAAAGAGGAGACGGAACACTGTCTGGGTGCTCGTGTGAGCAAGAAATAACTTACGACCAATTAAGGATAATCTCCATTTATTCAATTTAACATAAACCCGTGACAAATAATTTTTGTACAAAACGAATGCGATGCATTCATACATAATTCACACACACACGTATCTAATTAATATTTGATTCAAACTGCATCTGAAAAAATACTCAATGAAAATCGTATGCAGTTCTCGGGAGAGCGGAATAATACACCAGCCCACCGAACACTCCGATGCAATTGCCTTCTCGTTTCTGGGTTCGTGCCGTCACGGCACGCACCTCATTACGCTGAGCCTCAAAGCTCTCCTGGTCCTTGTGTGGTCCACGCGGCACCGTCCAAGGCTGCACCTTTGAAGTCGATGGGGAAAATGAGGTGGGCAGAATGAACAGATGGCCTGTGTTGGAGAGGCAAGTGAGAGGACCCCATTTCAAGCACCGTGAATCTGTCACTTTTGGGTTGTAAATGTGGTACAATGCGTTTAATTTTGAAAAGAACGAATTTTTTTACAGTGTTTTCTGCTCTTTTTCAACACCAGTTTGGAGGCAGCCGTTTCTATAAATCGGATTTCTGTCTCATAATGCTGGTTGCAACTAGAAGTGAAACGTCGTACCACCCAATTGTTAAATGTGTGTGGATGACGTTCCAACGAAGCAGTGGTGCTGTTGAAGAAGGAATAAATTGGCCACGTTTGTTCACGGGACAATTTGATTAGTTGGCCCTGTCGGGTGGAGGAGGGTGTAAGACACAACGCATTTCACTTACGAGATCTGACCCAAAACTCAATTATGACTCAAAATATTGGTCGCGAAAGCCTATGCGTTAAATTAGCCAAGTTAGTCATACATTTTTTTATGAATTGGGGAAACTTTGCTAGCAATGATGCTCCCTCCTGCCAAACATGGATGATCACTGGGGAGTGGTAGTGGAGCGGTTAGCGCGCTACTTTACGAACCCGGTGACCCGAGTTCGATTCTCACTCACAGCCAACACCAGTGGAGATTATCTGATTAGGTCCTAGGCCTCCCTTAGGTCGACTCAGCATCACCTTAGTACCTCGTGCCAAATGTCAACATCGCTACTCGGGGAGACAAAAGCGGTCGGGCGCGGTGCTGGTCACCCATCCCCTCGTGTGCAGTGCCGGCCTTCATAGGTGATGGCTAACAGCACTTGCCCCAACAGTCTGTTGAGGCTACACTGAGGATCTCTGTGTTTGGTGACCAGGAAATGGCAGTGCTGAGCGCCTCCCCCTCGTATAGAGCGAGGTGGATTTTCTCCGGAGCACCCCAGTTTGCTCCCACACGAATCCAAACACTCAAATAGAACTGACCAAACATCCCAATTGCAGGATTTTGATGAAAAGGATCATCGTGGGAGTCTCAGAAGGGGGCTTTCTCGAGTAAATAAATGGCATAATTTTTTTTATTTGGTTATCCTCAGGAACTGTATGTCACAGTGATCAGTTCTAGAGGCGGCCAACTACAACATCCAGTCTACGAAACCCTCCTACCCGGGGCCTCCGCTCAGCGCATCCTCACCCCCCCCCCCCCTACCACCTTCCTCCCACAAGACTCCCATAGAACCATTTCATTGATTGTCTTTTCCAATTAGAACACAGAGTACTTGTATAATTATCCTTTATAATATTCACGTAATTACATGTCAACGTTCCGCAAATTGCCATCATTATTGTGGTGTTTGTTTATGTAGGTTTACTACGAAATTATTAAAGAAGGTTTTTTTATCATCATCGTGAGACATGATCTATCCACCGCTGTGTGAAGGCCTTCCCAAAGAGCCACCATCACTCATGATCTCGTAAAGCAACAATCCATCTGGTCCCTGCATCGCTCCATCTCCATGTCGAACGTCCACTAGGGCACGTTCCCTACTTTGGCTGCAACTGCCTAGTTAAGTCTTATTTTTGCAAGCAATTTTTATTGTCATTAAAGAACCCAGAAATACAGTGGGAATTCAAAAGAATAGAAAAACAACATATAACGTATATAAAGCCTGGGCGTAATACACCCTCAACATTAGGGAAGGTATGAGGGCATCCGAGCTCGCTGCCCTACAGCGGAAGGGGTAATGATTGGGAGCAGTGTATATGTCTGTACGTTGAACTTCTTTCGCACCATACGTAGCCAACCACGCTAATCGGAGGCGGGGGGGAAGGACAACAGGAGTTATAAAGAAATGAGTTTTAAATCTAGATGATGATTGTAAAGGGGCATCGCTCCAGCGGCTTCCTAATATCGGAAGGAAGAACGTTCCAGACGGCCGCGGAAGCGCATCTGAAAGCTCGCGATGCGGTGACCGCCGTCTTTGTTTGATGGCGTAGCCACAAGCCGCCGCTGCTGCGAGGATGACCGGAGTTCGTGTGATGATGATGGTTTATAAAAGGGGGGGGGGAGGGGCCGTCATTTGCCGTCATCCCTTTTTGTGACCTCGTCTGTTCACACACCCACTTCACTTTTCCAAAGAGACAAATTATGGCTCCAAAATGCATATGTTCTCTGGTCTGTTTAACACGAAGGAGGCTTTCACAACCAATATTATCCATGAGAGGCTTTTTGGGTGTTCCACTTCCTGTTTCTCAGTTTCATTCCCAGCACACACCACCCCCTCTGTAAGCTTCTTCGCAAATTTCTCAGCGTTATTCGCAACATTTTTACGAAACCTGCGCTAGGATTGCCGACGTGACAATCCAGCCCCCTCGCAGAACCAACTTCTACGCGGTGCATATTTCCCTCGCTCTGCCGCTGCGTCTGTCCGCTGCCTTTAAAGAACCTTTGCCACGAGTTGGTCAGGGACCGATACTTTTTTTCTTCACACGGACCATTATCCAACGTTCCGTCGAGGGAGATGACAGGAAACGTGGGCGGAAGAACCCCCCCCGCCGCCCCCCGATGTTCCTTAAACAGGCGGAACACGGTGTCGTGTCGCCTGCCTCGGCTGGCGTGCGAGGCTGTGGGATTAAACTCGGCAATGAATGGCGAAAAATGGCAAGATTGCCAATCTTGCTGAGCATGCTCTTTCATGTGCAAAAAGACATCTGGAGCTGCAAAGCGTCTCGCGTGTGTGCGGTACAACAAACGGCCACATTTTCGTGTTTATTTTCAAATTATGGGGCCTCTTTTTGCTTGCCCACAGGGTTCGAGCTTGTTGGAACGAGCTTGTTGTTAGAGGGGGGAGGGTGGGGGGGAGACAGTAATAGGAGAGGGGGGGCAGAATGCAAAAACCTTTGAAAGCTATTTCAGCTTTCTGCAACTCTGAAAAATGTGAATATTGTTTGGTCCTGTGATGTAGAGAACATTCAATACCAATTTTCGTCTAGCAAAGCCATGGGTCTGCAACCTCAACGGGGATTATACATGGAGCTGCTGTGTGTGTGCGTATTTTGAAATCAGAACTGTGTTGGTAGCGCGTAGCCAAAAAACGGGATTCGGTCCGATATATTGACAATGCATAAATTCTGGTCATTGGATTTGCCTTCGTTGATGTTAAACACTTTGGACTGATAAAGCTAGAGTCAGTATCGCTCACTGTCTCTTTCTTCACTTCTACATTAACGTGTTTTTTTCTTACCGGTCAGCTGTGCAGCGAATTGACGACACGTGCGCGTGAGCGGTTTACAAAACGTCAGCCCGGTAGAAGGAATCTCCCGGCATCACCATCCCCTTATACAAACACTTGGCTCAGTGGATTTTTTTTTCTTCCGTTCACCACAGCCACGTTTGTCGTTGCTCGCATTGTCATCATCAGTCTTGATCAATCGACTGCTGGATGATGGCCTCCCGAAGCAGTCGCTATCACAAACGGTCCCGTCATTCAACAATCGCGCCTCCACGCCCACCATGGAATCCAGTGTTATTAGGACTGATTGGGATTTTTATACCGGCGGGAACATTACCTCCCGAGCGACTAAACCTCATGAGTTGAATACAAACTGGAGAGTGAAGATTTATGGACTTCTTCCCACCTCTGACGGAGCTTCCTCACGTCTGTGCAATACGCGCCAACTTAAGGCTTCCCGGCTTCGGCCACTAATGCATGCGCCGATTGTTTCGGATGCTCTCTATTCCCTCCCCATTCTCTATTTCCTTTCGCCGCATTGTATCCCAATCGATCTGTCGTTCCGTCGGCATCGTGTCACAAGATCGAAGACGCATACCACTCCGGACTCTTCTACTGGCAGCATGTCACATACATCCTCACAGCAGCGGCTTTTGGCTGCCCGTCGAAGAAAGGCGGTCACTGCATCGCGCGCTCTCAGATGCACTCATGTTTCCGTCTGGAATCCTCTTCCATCCGATATTAGGAAGCCACTGGGGCTGTGCACTTTTAAATCACCTGGAGTGACAACTTATTTCTTTATAACTGCTTGTGTTCAGTTTGTTGTCCTTCCCCCGCACCTCCGATTAGAACGGTCGGTTACGCGCGATGCGAAAATAAGTTCTACATACATACATACATACCTTGTGTCAGTAGAAAGTAGGGAAATGTTGTGCAGCAAAGCGTCTTCTGAAGTCACTTCAATAGACCACCCACCCTAAGAGCGCAACTTTCACATTCCCTGAAAAGCGTT